AGCAACAAAATCCATCTCAACAACCTAGGTTTGGCATCTTTTTTAGCAAGCAGATATTTAAGTGCAGAATGATCAGTATGAACAATCACCTTGGACAAAGCAAGCAACTCTTTTTCAGTAGTATTGTAATTCTTTTGAGCATCATTCATTGTTCTACTTGCATAATAAATGGTGTGAAATTTCCTATCTTTTCTTTGTCCCAAAAATACACCTAAAGCATCATTCCTAGCATCACACATTATCTCAAAAGGCAAATCCCAACAAGGTGCAACAACAATAGGAGCATTAACCAGTTTCTCTTTTAACAATTGAAAAGTATTCATACAATCATCATCAAAGAAAAATGGTGTTTCCTTAACCAAGAGATTAGTAAGAGGCTTAGCAATTTTTGAGAAGTCCTTAATAAATCTCCTATAAAAACTAGCATGTCCAAGAAAACCTCTAATTTCTTTAATTGGTTTAGGAGGAGCAAGCTTTTCAATTATCTCAACTTTAGCTCTATCAACTTCAATACCTTTAGAGGATACTTTATGACCTAGCACTATACCTTCCCTAACCATAAAATGACATTTTTCCCAATTCAATACTAGGTTAGTTTCCTCACATCTTTTAAGCACCCTAGACAAATTATGTAAGCATCCATCAAATGAAGAGCCAAAAACTAAAAAATCATCCATAAAAATTTCCATGAACTCATCAACAAATTTAGCAAATAAAGCCATCACACATCTTTGGAACGTACCTGGAGCGTTGCACAAACCAAAAGGCATTCGTCTAAAAGCAAAAGTACCATATGGGCAAGTAAATGTTGTTTTCTCTTGATCCTCAGGGGCAATAGGAATTTGATGATAACCAGAATAACCATCCAAAAAACAATAATATTCATGTCCAACAAGTTTCTCAATCATTTGATCAATAAATGGCAGTGGATAATGGTCTTTTCTAGTAGCTTCATTAAGTTTCCTATAATCTATGCACACTCTCCACCCTGTTATTATTCTAGTGGGAATTAATTCATCATTTTCATTTTTTACCACAGTTGTCCCACCCTTTTTAGGCACTACTTGCATAGGACTCACCCAAGTACTATCAGAGATAGGAAAAATAATACCTGCATCCAACCATTTGATTACCTCCTTTTTTACCACCTCTTGCATGTTAGGATTAAGGCGTCTTTTGGGGCTGAACAATCGACTTGTGCCCCTCCTCCAACAAGATTTTGTGCATGCAAACCGAAGGGCTAACTCCTTTGATATCCGCTATGCTCCATCCTATAGCTCTTTTGTGTTCTCGCAACACCCTTAAGAGTTTCTCCTCCTTTATTCCTATCAAAGAAGCAGAAATTATAACGGGTAAGGTATTTGAATCACCCAAATAAACATACTTTAATTGAGAAGGAAGAGGTTTTAATTCAAGAGTAGGGGGCTCCTCTTTGGATCGCTTGACTGTCACAGTGGATGGTGCATCTAAGGGTAGAAAATTCCCTCCTTTTTGTGGCTAGCTATGGCATTTTTCCCCAAGAATAGCTGCTACCTCCAAAATGTTATTGTCTGCACTATCAGCTTTCACATCCAAAGCATTAACAATACAATTATCAATAGGATCATCTAATCTAGAAGCATTAAAATTTTCAGCCACTACATTGTCTACCACATCAATCCTTAAAACAGCACTGCCATCATGATCACAATTTTT